AATAAAACCTTGAGTAAGATTATCCAGTATTTTCTGAACATATATAATGAGGTCAATAATCTTCAAGGCCCACATGAGTATCCTCACTTTTATAGTTGAGGAAACTGAGGCACAGAAATTATCTTTCTCAGTATTATAGTTAGTCATGAACCTGGGCAACTGAAATCCAAGGTTACTGATCTCATAATAAATGTTCAGAAAAAACTGGATAATCTTGACTCAAGGTTTTATCCAAGATGCTTTCTTTTTACAGTTTTGTTCTAATATTTTTTTTTCTAAACTGGTTAGGAAGTATTTGATTATATTTGTATAAATAGTAGCAGATGATAAAGAAATAAAACTGATTATATATTACCATCCTTAAGTAATTTACATACCAAGAGCATTAAGGCAGAAGTGGCATGTATAAAGCAGAAAATATTTTATTTCAAAAAGCATCATAAACCAGAAGTTCTTCTATTAACCCAAAGGGCAACAAAATGTGACCAACAAGCTATCAATTATGAGCCAAGATCATGCCACTACACTCCAGCCTGGGTGACAGAGACTCCACCTCAAAAAAAAAAAAAAAAAAAAAAAAAAAAAAAAAAAAAAAAAAAAAAAAAAAAAAAAAAAAAAAAAAAAAAAAAAAAAATCACATGTATAAGTTATAACTACACAAAAACAAATCCAGTTTCTTTTCTTTTTTTTTTGAGAAAGTGCCTCACTCTGTCACCCAGGCTGGAGTGCAGTGGTGATCATGGCTCACCTCAGCCTCAACCTCCCAGGCTCAAACTATCCTCCCACCTGAGTAGTAGCTGTGACTATAGGCATGTGCCATAATGCCCAGCTAATTATTTTCTTTTTTTCTTTTCTTTTTTTTTTTTTTGCTGGGAGAGGGGTAGAGATGGGGTTCCACTATGTTGCCCAGGATGGTCTCAAACTCCTGGGCTCATTTGCCTGCCTTGGCTTTCCAAAGTGTTGGGATCACAGGCTGAGCCCCAACTTCCATTATTAAATAGTCAATAGGCAGACTCAATTTTCAAAATACAGATTACTGACTATAGAAATCATTATTCTAAGAGCCACAGCTTATCTTTTTGGAACAGATGATTATAAAAACAGCTTTAAATTGGTTTTCCATAGCACATCCCAGTTTTATTTATTGGTATCCCTCTTCCTTAGGAGAGAGAATATTCAAGAATTGAATATCTGAGTACATTTAAAAATGATAACGGGAGACTTTTTAAAAGTTAGATTTTGTTTGTTTGTTTGTTTCCTACCAGGTAAAATAAGTAACAAAGTAAATCACCAAGAATGAAAAATACAAAAAAGAATTTCACATTAACAATGACTGCTAAAGCTATTAACATAATCTAGTGACAAATTATTTCAAATATTACTTCAAGGTGCTAAGAAATTATACTTAGTATACATTTTAAAAAGTTATCTATAACTTTGAGTTGATAAAATAAGAATTCACAAAAGAAAGCCATTTGCATTCTCCAATCTGATTATACATTTAAACACAAAATTCCCTTTAAACACTGAAAGTGAGAACTAATATTATGCAGCTTTCTCTGTGCATTATAGGTCCATCACCCTCCCTAGAGAGTTTAAATACTTGTTCTATGTCAAGTATTCTCTCCTACCTCCCTCAATACACTGAACAGTGGACTGGGAGTCGAGTGGTAATAATTGTTAAGCTAAGATAATGAGTATAAAAGTAATTATGGTACCAAACTTAATCCCTGTAAAACCTGAAAGTTCCTGAAAATATAAAAATATGACTAATAAAATTCTACTACCACAAGGCTGTGATGTGTCAAACTGGAGAACCATATTCACAGAAAATCCTTACATACTAGTCTTATCACTATTCTGCTAAAAAAAAATTCAGTGGTTCTTAGTTTCTAAAAGATCATATCCAAATTTCCCATTCTGCACTCAAAACCCTCTTTAACATGGTCCCAATTTACCAGTCCGAAATTATCCCCAACCTCTCACTGGAAATCATCAATATATTAAGCAATCTCCTCATTACCCAATAACAGGGTCTCACATTTCCATCTCTTTTTTTGTTCATACCACTCCATATGGTGTGACATGCCCTCCTCTTAAAATGTTGTGTTTCTTCAACTAATAAGCATTTCCTGAGGATTTATGCTCCTGAAGACCACCACAAATTCCAATTTATCCATGAATTTTCTTAGAACTGCTTCAGTCCACACAGATCCCTTGTGAACACCTTGTGCTTCACAACAAAACACTGGCTGAAAATGAACTGAATTCCAATGATATAGCAGCCTCCTGTAACTCCCATTTAAAAATCCCTGTCATATTCCCTCCTACTAAGATTATGGGACTGGAGGGACTTGAACCTCCTCAATGATACTGACAGCTTATTGTTTTTATTCTCTCTAATTTCAGTCACTCACTTACCAGAACTACAAAAACTGGCACTCTGACAGAGGTTGGAGCAACAGCTGGAACATTCCTTAGGAGGAAGATGGGTAGCTGGTGGGAACACAAGAAAACACCAGTACCAATGCTGTAAATGGTATGTTTCTATCTGGCTTAGAGAACAAAAGCAGCAGTTCATCAGCCACTTTGAGATGGGACACAAAGAGGGTATCGGAGGCTAACTACAAGTCCCAGAATTAGACGGCTCACAATGGCATCTGTGTAGCTGTTAGGACTGGCTATAAAGTCACCATCAAGGTATAAAAGCCTTCCTTATGCGTTCCTCATAATATCCCCACATCAAACTTTTCATGGGCCTATCCATTTTATTACTTTCACCACAGACTTAAAAAACTCCTTCAACATGTAGCTTACTACTCTCAGTGCTATACCTCAGCTTTCCAGGTTAGATCTTTTTTTCCTGATCCCTAAAGCCAGATCTAAAATAATCACTTGGCCTAAAATCTTTTTTCCTAATACTAATCACCTATATGAACTATGATTTGCTTAAATATGCCAACATTGAAATAGGTGAGTGGAAATCTCCCCAAAATACACTCATTAAAAAAGATCACATGAAATTCCAATGAATTCTTCTTAAAGAATCAGAGTGAGGTTCTGGAAGTTAATCAAGAACCCAAGTTAAGATAAAAATTCACAGAAGAAAAGCCACAAGTAAGAAGGAGCTCTAACGCTCAATGTATTCTGACCACCTTCACATTTTAGAAAAACTTATCTGAAGGACTTTTGTCAGCACATACTGAGGAGCCCAGCTTCAGATATAACTTAGTTTTTAAATAGGTAAAGAGGTAATGATTAAGAAAACAGAACACAAGGAGTTTTTTAGTAGAATCAAGAAAAGAAACTGCAGTTAGAATGCTACTTCAAAAATAAAAGAATAAATTGAAATTGCCATAAAATTCACTAATTTTGGAATCTATGCCCAATATACTTTTACATGTTCAAATTAGCTTAAAATTTCCCAAATTTTCCTACTTCCAAAGATCTATAGGAATTGAAAGAAACACTTACTCATAATTTTTCACAAGCTGATAAAGGCAAAGAAGAATTCCTAGCCAACAAGCACTGTTATCGGACTGAAGATAAAAGCCAATTTTGTCCACAATGGCAGTCCAGCGGCTTGGATAATCATGTTTGATAATGTGATGAATGCACGTAGTAAGCTGTACCCTGAAAACCAAAAATAAACACCGAGGATAAAATACCACCTAGATAAGATTTTGCTGACTCATAGAAAGGAAATAGCTGTTTAGACAAAATCTAATTTCAAATAACCCATGTGATTTTAGATGTACACGGAAAACATATAATTCAGAATAAGTCACTGAGCAAAAACAATGTGTTCCTACCGATTTGAAAGAAATCCAACAAATGTTACAAATGTAAGTGTTTTTATTTTTTATTACTATCATCAATAAACAAGTTTCATTTAAGAATATCAATTAGGGCCGGGCGCGGTGGCTCAAGCCTGTAATCCCAGCACTGTGGGAGGCCGAGGCGGGTGGATCACGAGGTCAAGAGATCGAGACCATCCTGGTCAACATGGTGAAACCCCGTCTCTACTAAAAATACAAAAAATTAGCTGGGCATGGTGGTGCGTGCCTGTAATCCCAGCTACTCAGGAGGCTAAGGCAGGAGAATTGCCTGAACCCGGGAGGCGGAGGTTGCGGTGAGCCGAGATCGCGCCATTGCACTCCAGCCTGGGTAACAAGAGCGAAACTCCGTCTCAAAAAAAGAATATCAATTAGGCCAGGCACGGTGGCTAATGCCTGTAATCCCAGCACTTTGGGATGCCAAGGTGGGCGGATCACGAGGTCAAGAGATCGAGACCAACCTGGCCAACATGTTGTAACACCGTCTCTACTAAAAATACAAAAATTAGCTGGGTGTGGTGGTGCATGCTTGTAGTCCTAGCAACTCAGGAAGCTGAGGCTGGAGAATCGACTGAAACCAGGAGGTGGAGGGTACAGTGAGCTGAGATTGTGCCACAGCACTCCAGCCTGGATGACAGAGTGAGACTCCATCTCAAAGTGAAAGAAAAATTCTGCAAAATTCTATAAAAATAAAAGTTTTCAAATATCAACACTATAAAGTATATGACGGCATTCTATAGTCTTCTTCATCCCCTTTCATCTTATCACAGTATGTTTCACAAATATTTTTTTGTTGTTATTGTTAAAGACAGGTCTCACTCTTTTGCCCAGGCTAAAGTGCAGTGGCACCATCATAGCTCACTGCAGCCCCCAACTCCTGGGCTCTAGCAATCCTCCTGCCTTAGCTCCCCCAAGCACTGGGAATACATGCATGTGTCACTACACTTTGCTAATTTTTTTGGGGGGGGGTGGGGGGGTTTGAGATCTTGCTATGTAGCCCAAGCTAATCTTGAACTCCTGAGCTCAAGCAATCTTCCCACTTTCCAAAAGTGCTGGGATTATATAGGTGTGAGCCACTGAGTCTGGACTGTTTTCACAAGTTTTTTTTTTTTTTTTTTTTTTTGAGACAGTCTTACTCTGTCGCACAGTCTGCAGTGCAGTGGTGCAATCTCAGCTCACTGTAACCTCTGCCTCCCAGGTTCAAACAATTCTTATGCCTCAGCCTCCCAAGTAGCTGGGACTACAGGTGTGCGCCAACACACCTGGCTAATTTTTGTTTTTTTAGTAGAGACCAAGTTTCACCATGTTGGCCAGGCTGGTCTCGAATTCCTGACTTCCGGTGATCTGCCCAACTCCGCCTTCCAAGGTGCTGCGATTACAGGCATGGGCCACCGTACTGGGCCTATTTTCACAAGTTTTGTCTGTTGTTTTTGAGATGGAGTCTTGTTCTGTTGCCTGGGTTGGAGTGCAGTGGTATGATCTCAGCTCACTGCATCCTCTGTCTTATGAATTCAAATGATTCTTATGCCTCAGCCTCCTGATTAGCTGGAATTATAAGTACTCATCACCACACTCAGCTAATTTTTATATTTGTAGTAGAAACAGCATTTCATCCTGTTGGTCAGGCTGGTCTTGAACTCCTG